TTCTGTTGGAAATCTTCAAAAACTACAGTGGTTGAACATGAGTTTTTGTACAAATCTACAAATTGTTCCGACTGACTTCAGCCTGGCATCTCTTGAAGCGCTCCATCTAACGGATTGCCCAAAATTGAGAACCATTCCATTTATTTCCACCAACATCACACAACTCACGATCCCAGACACAATGTTAGAAGAGCTGCCTAGGGTTTGGTCTCGCCTTGAGGATCTCCTTATATTTGGCAATCTCGATAGATTATTTGAGATTGAGAAACTTCCAGATTGGATCAAAGATCTACATGGGTTAAAAGAGCTTTATATACACAACTGTCGAAAACTTGCATCACTGCCAGAGCTCCCTCGCTCGCTCAGAAAGCTACTAGTAGGCAATTGTGAATCATTGGAGACACTAATGCCTTTCCCTTTGGACTCTCAGTGTGAAGAACACTATTTCCCCAATTGCTTAAAATTGAGCCGAGAAGCACGGAGCGTAATTACCAGTGAATCATCTTTGGCATGCTTACCCGGAAGCACAATGCCTACAGAGTTTGATCACAGAGCTAAAGGGAATTTCTTGACCATCCGCTCAGATTCCAAAGTTTTTAGGATTTGTGCCGTGGTTTCCCCTAAACCGCAGATGAAACAGTGTAGTTTGTCTTATCGCATACACTTAAACGGTTGCCTCATTGAGGAGTACATATATTTTCATGTCCACGTACTCCAAACAGAGCATCTGTTTATAGCTGACGCTTTTATCTTTGAGGAAGATGGATGGCTTGAACAGGGCAACGAGATATCATTCGAATTCAGCGACGTTATTGAATGTGGTGTCCGGATCATGGCGTTCGAAACCGATGCATCTAGTTCAGAACAAGACGACGATGGAAATCTCTCTGATGGAAGCGATGCATCTAGTTCAGAACAAGACGACGATGAAATTTCTCTCTGATGGGAGCGATGAGTTTGATGAACCCAGAGTGAAGCGTTTGAAGACCTGACAAGGTATCACTCTCTTCTGTTTAACATCTTTGAGTCTAATACTCTGTTTAGCTTTGTATGTCACAATGGACTAATATTTCATTCGTTTGAATCTTTTCATCTCTCTCCATCAGTTTTCACTATTAAACACTCAAATAAGTCCCGAGGAACATTGGAAGCTTAAATTAAAGAGGAAGACAACGTAATCCAAAAAGTCAAGATGATGAATTTTTGCCATTGTTGTGAGAATGCTCTTATTATCTTTTCTGTTTGTTAGCTCTTAAGGTTTCTTAGTGATTGAATATCTAATCCTCTTGGTGACCTGAAATTTGGAAACTGTTTCAGATCATAACCAATGGATCCTATCATCAACTCTGCTCTGTCTTTTTTAAAAATTGTATGTTTGGTCTTCTTGTGCTTTCCTGTACTATCACTATCACAGTGCTGGAAAGCTTGTGGTTCTAACTCTGATCATAAATTTACCTGTATTATCAAATCTGTTGATTTGGTAGACAAGTCTTTGCCAAGAAGATTTATTATGCTGTAAGCAAATGAAACAGTAAGTTTTTTTTTTGTCACAAAATGAAACAGTAAGTTTTTCTAACATTTTCTTTAATTATACACTGGATTTATGATAGCGTAACGTTCTTGGAAAGAATTCTCCAAAGCAGAATTTTGATAGAATTTGGTATTGGCTAGCCTTGATTCGTCGTAAATATACAAATGCTAGATGGATATCAGGTGAGTTCATTGAGCATCCATTCAGCTGATCATTCAGCTTTAAGGCTTGCGTTGTGATTTCCCTTTGTTACTCAACAAGGAAACAAAAAATCTCATAGAAAATATGGTTTCCCCACTAACAAAGCTCGTATTTTGGTTGGTTTACCTAATCGACCCCTTGGAATTCAGTCACAACGTATCTGTGTGTTTTGTTCCTTGAAGTTGAAAGTGAGAACAGAGCCTCTGTTACAAACGAAGACAGGGACCCAAAATCTCTGTTATGACATCATCAGCAACTCAAGCCTCATGCTGCTCCCTCCAAGGCCCAAAGACGATGAGCATCAACAAGCGCAATCAGAATACAAAAAGAGATAGTGGTATGCAGAGGAAATCACATGGAAAGGGGAAAAATGAATCTTTCACATATTAAAGGCTATTGTACCTACTATATATTGTTGATGATGGTTGTTCTCGATTTCATTCCCCTTCAAGCTAGTGTTAGGAGATGAACTAACACCTATGGTTTGGCACGGAGAG